AAAAAAAAAAAAAAGATGAATATTCATGTAATAATGGAGTGAAAGAAAAATTCTTTAATATTTTCATAAAAATCTTATAACTATAATTGGTTTTTATTACTCCATTGTAATCTGAATTATCTGAAGTGTTAAGAGTTACTAATCTTTTCCAGAAACTTCTCAAACTCATGTTCTGATATATACACATTAGTAAAATGACCACATACCTATAGACCAAGCATTTTGTGGCATCCCTTTGGGAAGGTGGACATTGACCTTACATGCTTTATCTCGATACTGAGTGTCAGAGGGTGTGAAAACTCCTATTTCCGAACCGTGTGTGGTGGCCAGCCTCCAAGGGGTCCCTAATGATCCTTGCCTCCTAGTATTTCCACCTTCATGTTGCCCTCGCACAGTGTGCCAGCGTGGGTCTGGTTGAACATGGCACAAGTGATGCTAAGTTACACAAGAGAACTTCCATGTTGACCTCTCTTGGAATGTCATTCGGAGGGGAAGAAGCCCTGTTGTGTCACAGAAGCCCACATACAAACAATATAAATGAATCATCTCCCAAGCCCAGGCAAGTCTTCAAGAGATTCCTTCCTGGCTTTCAGAAATTGTGTGATACTAGTTGTTTCAAACTTCAGGTTGGATGGTTGTTTACATAGCAACAGATAGTAAAACTATAATGTGCTATAATGTGTTCCTTACCTCCCCCCCCTCCCGCCCCAGTGCAGAATGTGAACTGGAGACTGCCCAGTCGGGACTAATGCTTGGATGCCATAGAACGTGAGTTCCACTAAGGTGGCTGTCTCAGACAAGAGTGGATGGCACAGAGCCTCTCTGAGTTGCCTTAATGTCTTTGTGTTTGAAATCTTTATCAAAAGCAGTTAAACACCCCGGAACATACACATTGGGTTTCCCCCTGAGCACTCTGGACCTTCCTTGCAGAGGGAAAGGCATGGGGAAAGTGGGGTCAAGTCTTAGAGGAAGCCTCTGCCTGGAGATAATGGTCTCCTTCCTCAAAGCCTATCCTTCTCATGTTTCCTGCTTTAAGTCAGTAGTGCCCGCAAGATTCCTAGAGGAATCTGGGCTACTGGTCTTGACCACTGACCCTCAACCTCCAAGTCACTCCTTTCAGTGGAATATTAGGGTTACATTACAGATTCATTTTCTCCATTTTGAAGGATAAGGACAACTATTTTATCATTTTTATTTTCTATTTTTTTTCGAACCCATGGTGTACATAGATCTTCCTCTGGCTTGTTAATGCCGTCTCCATGGCAGGTTCTATCATTGTTCTGTTACCAAGACCAAGATTCTCTTAATGTTTTTTCAAAGTGTAAACCTAATTTTACTATGCTAATTTAAATCTACCTGGAAACATTTCCTTCAATAGAAATAGCCCCCCATATACACCTCCTTTGATGGAAGGAGTTACATCATAACCTGCCATAACCTACCCACCAAATTTTAGGTTATGTCACCAAAAATCCTTTCTTGCTCTAGAGGGACACCCAAAAGAAATTTTAAAAAACATGTTCCCCAAAGAACTTTTAAAAAGCTATGAGTTGGGGATCAACCTCTCCAGTCTCCCCCCCCACTCCCCCTTGGCCGACCCTTGGCTCTCAGGTCCCGTGAAGGGGGTGCCCAGCCAAGCCAACCCTCGCCCAGAAAGCACTCCCCCCCCCCATACACATCAAACAAGCAACTCCGAAGCTTCGGTCTGATGCGCTTTTCTTTATTAACCAAACTGCAGCTTCAAGCGGTTTCGCACTGTTGGAGAGTCAAAACCAGGGTCCATCCGTGTGCCTCAGGAGGAATAGAGTTCAGTCAGTGCCCGCCTGCTGCTGAGTGATGGCCCCGGGCACCTACGGGGCTTGCTTCTGCGAGCACGGAGGGCAGCGGCTGGCGGGGGCCGTGGCCGTGGCCGCGGCGCCGCCGCCATAGTGGTAGCGCAGGAAGCGGGAGCCTTGCATACTCTGTGCCACCACGTTGGTGCCGTGGCAGGCCATCAGCAGATAGTTTCGAGGCTGCACGCGGTAGGCGAAGCGCATGAAAGCCAGGGAGTAGAAGAAGAGCGCCGTCGTCATGCGGCCACTGATGATGTCGGGCGGCGCCTTCATGTCGTTAAAGGCAGCCAGCGGAAGGCCCCAGTTGGCCACAGGCCCCCAAAAGTGCGTGCTGGTCAGGTAGTCCCGGAACTCCTTGGTCTTCACGTAGGTTCTCACCCTCCGAAACAGGGCTCCAACAGCTGCCATGAGGGCCGGGTAGGCGGAAGACCGTCACGATGGTCGCACTGCCAGCCCACAATGCCTTCGAGTGTGGCGGCCTAACGTACCGCGTGCCGAGGCCTCGCGCCTGTCGTAAAGGGCCTCAGACTGCGCATGCGCCGTGGTCTTGTGCGGCAGTAGGATGGGAGGGCGTGGCTTCGCCCTCTTAAAGAGCCCGGAGCCTGCTGGCATAAATGCCCGTGTGTTCATTCCCGTCCCAGAGGCAGCACCACACAGCCCTACACTTCCCTCCCTGTGGTGCTGCAGCCACTTGAAAGCACTCAGGAGCCAAATGCCACCCAGGGAGGCGAGCTGACTGCCCGCTGTCCTCACTAAAAGAAAACTGCTTTGTCCAGTCTAACTAGATGTTCACATGAACTTCTTCAATCAGATATAGAACTTCGGCCCTTCCACAGTTACCTGAATGTTACTTGAAGGTACAGTGACATTTCACCCCTAAATATGTTAGCATGTCCCTTGAGAACAAGGACTTTCACCTGTTTAACCACGATCCATGCAGGTAAGTGACGTTTAGTATCTACAATGCCTTGCATAGGTGAATTTCGTAGTTTTATGACTATTTTTCTTGTTGGAGAAAGGAGATTCAAGATCCAATCAGAATCCAAATTTTGTTAATTCCTTGGGTTAATCTCCTTTAATCCAAATGGGTTCCCCAGCTGTCTGTCTTTTGTGGCACTGAGATTTTTGAAGAATATAAGCTAGTGGTTTTCAGAATGCCCTTAATTTGGATTTGTCTCCTTTCTCATAATCAGATTCAAGTTAAATGCTCTTTCTCTCCTTTTTTTTTTTTGTGGGGGGGGCAAAATAGCCACACAGGTGTTGTTCTTAGTGTATCAGATTGGGAAGCCCCGGTGTCACTCTGTCATTCGCGGAAAGTTTGATCCTTATGGAGTTGTCCAGCAGTTTTCTTCATTGTAGCGAAGGCACCTTTCCCCTCAGCAGTCGATAAGATAGGGAAAGGTGGATGCTTTCACAGTGGATTTTCTGTTCTCCAGCAGTCTTTCACCTAATCTATTGATGAAAATTCTTTTCTAACAACACTCGTGATTATTTTCCCAATGTTTTCTACTTTTTCTAATAAAAATAGATGTTGAAAAATAATGGGGGTTGGCCATATAGCTCAGTGGATTAAAGCACCTCCAAGGGGGGGGGGTGTTTGATCTCCAGGCCTGCGGTGCCCGCCCCGCCCCCAGGCTCACTGAGAGGGCAATTGAGACTGGGCGTGGTGGGGCACGCCTGTAATCCCAGCTCTTGGGAGGCTGTAAACAGTCGGATCACTACAAGTCCAATCTAGTAGTGAGACCCTGCACACCCTGTAGACCCTTCCCTAAAAAAAAAAAAAATTGTATATGCTTTCAAATATTAAAACTTTAGTGATTTACAAGTTCATTGTAGGGGGGAACTACCCACTCGGGCCCCCCTCCTGCCCCTCTCTAGACAGGAGCTTTCTTTCCCTCAGTAAATATAATCTCATTAAAAAAACAAGTTCATTGTAGCTTTAAAATTAATGTTCATTATCTGTATTCATTTACATCTCAAATATTTTATTGTTCAAAAAGATAGCCATTGCTCAAAAGGAAAGTAGCATAATTTTTAGGTAACCCTTTTAAAATGCTAGTTTCCAAATATGATGATGGCTATGCTAGTACAAATCAGTTCAGCATAAATTTGAATAAACAAGTCAGCAAGGATGTACCGAATGACATTTTAGGCCCACACTGCTACGTACTGCACCATCCCCAAAGAAGTGTAAGCTATTCCTCCTTGTGGAAGAGGCTCTTAGTATTTGTAGCTCACATACAGGTCATTACATGGTTTTCATTGCTTCTGGCTGGGTAATCACCCCAAAACTTAGTGGGTTACAACAATAACAATCCTTGATTTTACTCAGAAATTTGTAAGTTGTGTAGGCCTTGATAGGGACACCTCACCCACTCCATGTATCACTAGCAGGGTTGAGCCTGGAAGATCCATTTTCCAAATGCTCCTGTGGCTGGCAAGTCAGTGCTCGTTGTTGGGGGAAAGCTGGTGGCCCAGTTTCTCTCCATGTGAGCCACTCCACAGGCAGATCAAGAACAAAGCAGAAACTGTATTTAGTACAATTCTAAGATGACCCCAGTGTCTAAGTTAGTTTCACTTTACTGGGACAAAGTACCCAACACCCACAAATTAAAGGAAGAAAGCTTATTTTTATTTAATTTAATTTTTATTTTTTTGTCTTTTTGAAACAGTCTAGCTCTGCAGTTAAGACTGGCCTCGACTAGCCTCCAACTCACCTCCATCCTCCGAGTGCTGGGCTTACAGGCATGCACCACCACATCCAGCCGGGAAGTTTATTTTAGCTCACAGTTTGTAGAGGTTTCGGTCCATAATTGACTCTAAACCAGGGTGGCCCATGGCAGAGGGTGGCAGAAGACAGCAAAAGCAACAATAGAGAGTAAGTAAGGACAGGTCTCTCTCGGGCTCTTGTGCAGGCTCCCCGCCTTAGGGCAGTGTGGCAGGCACATCCTTAATCCCAGCATTGGCCCGTGGGGCAGCCACATGCTACAGTCAGCCACCTCTGCAAAGTGCCCTCTTTCATCACTGAATGAAGCTTTCTTTCTTTCCTTCTTTCTTTTTTTTTTTTTGGATGAAAACCCCAAATCACTTTATTCAAATTAATAATATCAAAACAGCTGGCTTATGGAGGCCACACATGTCCCAAGTGTAGCCCACCTGTGTGGTGGGAACACCTTCTTCTGTGGCCGGGACTGAATGGTTTTACGCTTCTCGTATTAGTAACACTTGTGCTAAAGTAACTTGGTTGGCCCACCGCCCAGGTCTTCAGGGTCCGCCTCCTGGTTAGAGGAGGCCGTTTGCCCTGAGCTTCCTGGTTAGAGGAGGCCGTTCGCAGAGCTTCACATCTGGCTGGTTCTGTGCACCCCCAGAAACTGCTTGATCTCGAAGCACCAGGGGCCGGGTCTCCTGCTGCTGCAGCTGAGCCCCCCGAGGTTCCTGTAAGTGATGTTGGCCTTGGGGGACTCGCCGCTGCCTCCTCCGCTGAAGCCACCTGTGATGGCGGGGCCCAGCGTGTGCCCCACAGCTACACCTGCTACAGTGCTGGCCATCTGGGCCACTGGTTGTCGGGGTGCAGCAGCAGCAGGCAAGCCCACAGCAGAAGGCGGGGCCGCCCCCACCGGAGTTGGGGAGCCCTAGTAGGGGCCATCTGGGTGCTGGCCGGGGCGCAGCTCAAATGTGAGAGGCCCGGCTCCGGCTTCCACGAGGCATCTTCAACACACCACTACTCAGCGTCTAGCGAAGCCAAACTCCGCAAACAGGCTGGTGAATGAAGCTTTGAGGGGACATCTAGACACAAGCCACAACACAAAGCAACTTCTTCCTGTTTTCCCTTTTCATTACATGTGGGTTACAAATCTTGTGGTGTTATCCACACCCAGTGAGCCTTTCTTCTTCAGTAAATCCATCATCCACACCCAGAAGTTTTAAACTACTCAGTAGATTAATCCGGTTATTCTCAAAAGCCCCTCCTCTGAGCGCATGAGCCTTGGCACATGTACATGCTGTCCGCCGTAACACCCAGTGAGCCCAACCCTGTACGAGCTTCCCTGGAGAGCGGAATCGGCCATTGTGGCAAAAGGTGTCATTGACGGCTCATCATATTGGCTGACTTACGACAAGCAGCGCATCCACACAGACCTGACTTACTTAAACCAGCCTCTTAAATCTAGGTCTAGAAGTCAGAGAGGACTACCAGAGCTGTGTAGTGAGACCCTGTATCAAATACATTTAAAAATGTATAAAATTTCAATTTTTAGTTTGTTGGAGGACCCTCCATGCTGACTAAGCAGCCGCCCTAGTTTCCATCCTCACTCACGGTGTCCCCCACACCATCCGCACTTGCTGTTTTTTGAGTCCTGAGTGCGCAGGTGCAATCTTGCAGTTGTCCTGATTGGGGCTTCCCTGATGGCTAACTGTGACGAGCATTTCTTTCATGGGCTTATTGGCCATTTGTACTTCTTTTGAGACGAGTCTGTTCAGTTCACTTGCGCATTGTTGGTTTGGGGGAGTTAATATTTTTTAGTTCTTTGTATATTCCAGATATTGATCTTCTATCAGAAGACTAGTAACAAAAATTCTTCCCCATTCTGTCAATGATCTCTTCCCTCTGTTGACTGACTCCTTTGTGGAGCAGAAGTGTTTTTTTTTAATTAATTAATTAATTAATTTATTTATTTATTTAATTTATTTATTTAGTGTGTGGTCAGCTCAGCCCACCAGGGGGCAGGCGGGCCAGCATGTGGTGCTGGAGGATTGAACCGAGGTCCCTGTGCTTTGCTTGAGCTTAGCTTGTTCTAAGTAGGTGCTTTAGACCACTGAGCCATCTCACCAGCCCCGAGCAGAAATGTTTTAATTGCTCGTGCTTGCTGATATTCCTTATGCTATTGGAGTTCTTTTGAGGAAGTTCCCACCTGAACGTATATGGCTTTAAGTGCTTCCTATATTATCCTCTAGCACTTTCACAGTTTATTGTCATATTCAGATCTTTAATCCATTTTGATTTGATTTTTGTACAGTGTGAGTTTGAGGCCAGGCTGGGTACATAGTGAGTTCAAGGCCAGCCTGACTGGCACCATGAGACCCCATTTCAAATAAAAAGTAAAGTCAGATGGTTGAAGGTACCCTGGGCGGTTCTGCATCTTCTGTTCCATTGGTCTACATGTCTGGTTTTGCACCAGCACCATGCGATTTGTCACTCTAGCTTTGTAGTATAACTTGAAATTGGGATTGTGAGGTCTCTTGCTTTGCTTTTTTGCTTGAGATTGCTTAGGTCTATTCTGGTTCTATATGAATTTTAAGAAGGTTTTTGTGAAGAATGTGGCTGGTATTTATGTGGGGATTATGATAAATCTGTGTATCACTTTTGTTGATATTGTGCTCAGCCTCCTGAGTAGCTGGGATTTCAGGTGTGAGCCAGCACACCGGAAAC